AAGCGTGTGGAGAGTTATCCGCAGGTATAGTTTTGTGTGTGTGTTTGTGTGTCTTGGGGTTACTGCTTTATTTGATGTGTAATAGGCTTGGATAGCCTATGTCTGTTGATTGAATCATTCTGTCGGTCTTCTGGGAGATACAACCGGTTAGTCCGTAGCCAGTCCAGTCTGATTTTCCTCACAGAAGGAAACATATCTCAGAGCTCAGGTTGAGGAGACACACTGGCTGTCTGTGTTGCACATTTTGGAATGAAAATCAATGATTTTGTCATGAATAAATTATAAGTAAGCATAAATGTATCACCACTGCTTTGTGATCAAATATCACTGATTCAACATAAAAACTGAAGGGATCACAGCATGCGTTTCATCCTGGGATTTCAACTCACTCACAGTATGTAGTCATATCAGGTGTCTGCTCTCTTGATGCGGTTTGTGCCTACTATTCCTTGCTTTCCATTAAAGAGAACATCTTGTCAAAGTACATTTCAAAGTAATACTTTTGAACACTTTGGCTTTTTGTACAGAGCAGAATGTTGTATAGAAGTACGCAGAGAAAGTACAGTATAGTTAGTGGCACTTTGGCAGATATTTGCTTTAAAAATAGACAGATTTTGACAGCTTGTAAGAAAGAGATGTTCTTTCGGCTGGTAGACTTGTTTTAAATATGTGTATCTGAATTATTAATGGAAGTCTAATTATCATACTTCCTGTCTGCTTTAGATAAATAGCAGTAGTAGTTGATGGACTTATGACATGTTTGTATATACTTATAATGAATGGGAATCAGGAACTTTTCTCTGCAAGCTAAGGATAAATAAAGCTACAAAGAGATAGAACAGTCATGCCCCTTAAACCAAACACACTCCTGCCTCTCACAGATGATGTCACACCCCATATCTCAATGTTTCATCTTAATTTAAATCAGATCAATATTCCTCTCCCTGTCTCGCTTGTTTTTCCCAGTAGCATTTCGGTGAGGACACTAAATCTTATCTGCTCTATCACAAAATGTGTGATTTTAGAATGAGGAGTCATCAGAAACCTTATTAATATTGGATTCTACATCTTGTGGCTCAGTATAAGCACTAATATGCTGCCCAGCTACGGTACTGTGGAAATATAAATAAATCTTCCTGAGAGTTGGATGAAAAGATCGATATAAGTTGAATTATGAAGCTATATCCAGCACCCTTTGTTTACCTCACAAAGATTTGATAAAATATAGATCTTGTCAACCATAGGTGTCTAAAGAGCCGTTGTAGAAGCTCATTGCACTTTTCCTTGTACATGTGATGTTTTGGTGTTTTTTTGTTTCTTTCCGTTAACTGTCAAGTGGGAAATAAGTATTTTTTGTGTTTCTCTTATTATCCTAAGATACTGTTATGTTTGGCTGTGGAAAATAAATATGAAGGACAGACCATCTATTTCTATTTTTTTTAGAAAGGGGCAGGCAATATAAGATTATTTTCTTCTCCCTGCTCCTTTTCGGTCAATGGTGTGTTTACAGAGACATGTTTTGTTAACGATTATTATACATTAAGATTTGCATACCATGAACGGAACAAATACAAATGAAATGGTGGGTAACTCAGCCTTCACCATCTTGGCAATCACCTTCTTTCTAAAAATGTGCATCGTGGGTGCAACTGAGTCATATCATGGTGACGCAGCAGAGCAGATAGCAACCAGTTAGAGACTGAAGACAGAACCCACCCGTCATTCAAGCTAAATTCAGGTCTTTTTTGGGCTACACGATACTTTGTTCTTACTCAGAATTTCAGTTACCAACCCTTTCTCCATCCCCAGCTTCACTACTGGAGATTTTTTAGAAATGCAGACATATCTTGGATGCTGCAGTAGCTGATGCTGCTCAGCACTCTTTTCTTCTCCTACCGATTAAGATCAATCCAGCGTTAACCCCCTCTTTGCTTCCCCTTGCCGGATTATTGTAAAGCTGTGGTTAATAACTGATGGTGGTGACGTAGGTCGAGGGGATTGTGTGTGTAAGGAGTGACATTGGTGGTGGTGGTGGTGGAGGGTGGGGTTGTTTCCACTCTGACCGCTCCCTCCTCTCCTCCACCCTATCCTCTTTCCTCTCTCTCTCCGTCTCTCCTCCCCCACATCACAGATCTGCCCCTTGTGATCAGAGAAGACGTTTCTCCAAAGTTACCCACTTGATTATGCAGCACACATCACGGCAAGCACAGAAAAGGAGGGGTTTCACTCACTTTCACTTGAGCCTGAGGTGCCCTTAGGGCGGCATGGGGTCAACAAAAGCACAAATGACAGTATTGGCCGTTGAAGTGAAGCAGAAAAGTATGGCCCCCAGCAACGTCTAGTCTTCTTCTTATGATTTCTAATTTCTTAGCAATGAGCCTGACAATTCTAAGGAGAGTTTAAGGGAGGCATTGAAATTCTGCGAGCAAAGCAAAGCTTGGAATGCTGGGAAAAAAGACCTTGACAAGAAAACACACCAAAATCAAAGCAGAAGCAGTAATAGCTCTGCCAGCGTCCAGGGAGTGATTTATAGGTGAGAAGAAATGGCCTTGTTTGAGGGCTGTTCTGTCTGGGTCGTGTGATTTACTGTGATGACGGGCGCGCTCTCATCACGTGCATTCAGCCCGGTAGGACAGGAGGGAGGAGGCCCATTAATACTGATTATAAGAGCATGCTGCCTTTCTGTGCGGGGCTGGTCTGATGGTTTTTACACTATATCAACTCAGTGACAGTTCTTAATGGGAAGGATGGGAATGGTTCTTTCAGTATGTACTGTGGCGCTATAATGAGACGCCATGCCTTTTTTTCAATCTCTTAAGTGCATCTATTAGATCATTTATGTTTAATGAGTTTCAGAAGTGATATAGTTGCACTCTAGCCGTATAGTAAAGTGCTGCACATTGACAGAAAGATTGAGGAAGTTTTCTTGAAGTTATATTTGTTGGGCTTTGTTTGACTGGAGATGTCACAGACGAGCAGGGACCCCTAAAAGGTTTTTGTTCCTCAACGGCAGATTTGTTCCAGATTATAATAGTGTTTGCATAGTTTCATTGGTGGTCACAAAAGGCCCCCCCGCAGCACACTAAACTGCTCCTTTTGAAAGGTGTTGCTAGGATACAGGCAGCGTAAAGATCTCCTCTGTTTTGCTTTTCTGCAGCTGTACAGTTTGGACATTATGTCCAACTTGTTGTGTAGTTGTACAGTGTGTCGGCCCATTTGTCTCAATCCTTTCTTCTGTGTGTATCCAAGCGTATCCGTGTGTGGATGTTCAGCCATACAGTACAAGGGCAGTTTTGTTTGTATCTCGGGAAGCCTGCATATTAAATGGCCTCTCTTCTATCTCATAATCCATGTTGCTGTAATAAGACTCCATTTTTTTTTTTTGGTGAGTGCTGAGATCTCAATTCTGCTGTCACACCTCTGAGTCTCGGCCAGCTGACACCTCAGAGAATTAAGAGTGTCTGCCTCATGTTCAATTACACTCTAATCAACACACACCAGTCCAGCACGACCCGGGAATGAATGGGCAATATTGAACCGATGCTCAAAACTGTGATGCCAGTAAATGAATATATAAAGGTGTTTGGTTGTGAGTTTTGGCAGTCTTCCCTGAAAGACTGCACAGGTTTTCAAGCACAGAAAAGGCATTCAAAGCAGATTTGATTGACACTAGGAAAAATCATGGTGTGAATTAGGCATTTTTTCCCCTGCATTACTTCTCTTTAAGATATTTAAATATCAAAGGACTTGATAACGATGCTCCACATTTACACACTGTGTTGTCTGCAAGCTGCTTCATAAGTTTACTAATATATTTCCCTGAAGTTTCTCTCTATGACCTGATGGTCGCCTATTCTTCTGTTTAATTCAGTTCAAAGAAATAAGTAATGTGGTTAGTTGGATACCACTTAATACCAAGTGCTGTCACAATAGCTGAAATGGTTTTCTTCAGTCTCAGCATATTTGCCTCCATGATGGGTCTCTGTGCTATTTTTGATCACATTTATTATTCGAAACACATGATTCATCTCATCTGATTTTAAATACCAATAATATGAAGTCACTGCATTAGTTTCAAATCCCATTTTCCCCTCCACCATGGAGAAATCCTCCTTCCTCTCGTCTCCGCCAGTTATCCTGACTCACACAGCTGTTGCTCTTCATGTTGTGTTACTGGGCGAGATGCTGAGAGCTGGTTCATGCTGGTGTTTACTGGTGTGGTGTTAACGTCTGGGGGGCGGTGAGTCAGCAGTGAGGGGCCAGCTCTGCTGAACCAGAGCTCGGGGATTTTTCTGGCACGACTGTTGAGATGTCAATCATCAGGCGTCAACCTATCAAGGAGCTTGTGCCTGGGAGGCTGACGGGAAGCAGAGGCGGCAAAGACTCGTCGGCACTGTCTGCCAGAGATCCACAGGGAGGCAGGGATTGGCTTGTCCTTCGCTATGACACAGGTTGATTCGAATGTCAGGAAGGCCGACATTAAACAGCATCATTTTTGAGATTATGAGTTTAAGGCATTGAAAACTAGCTCTGGGATCATTTCAATTTGGACATACAGACTCTGTTATTGATCAAATTGAAACAAGAATTGCATTTATTCAACAGATGCATTACAAATACAAATAATAGTTAGTTGCAGCTATACACACACACTTAATGTTTTTTTGGTGTTTCTGGCTCATTCATGCAGATTCCTGACTTTTAACTTTATTTTTAAGGTCTTTATTGTAAGAAAATAGGTCCAATAACCAAATGCTGCTTTCTATTTAGCACAAGTATGCTCTTTTGTATTGTCTTAAACCCATGTTTATAATCACTACATTGCAAAAGGTTAGAGACTCTTTTTGCAGAATGTTATCATATATTTACATATAAAGAAATCGGCTATTTATATTTATTCAAATTCACACTCATTCAGACTCACAGAAATATGTTCTTCTGTGAAGGTTTTTTTCTATGTGTTGACGTCTCTCTTCTTTTTATTTCTTCCTCTCCTTAAGGAAAACCAGAAGGTCCTGCTAATGTTCCATCAGCTGAGCTTCTAGCTGTTACCCCACCAGGTGGTCCTCGCTTCAACATCATGCTGCACCTTACCCTGCTCCTCCATCTCCTGGTCCTCCCTCTCTGCTTTGCAGGTCAGTAGCACGTTCAGCTGAAAGGGAATGGCTACATTTATTTATAATGTATTAACTGAGAGACTGAGTCACTGCCTTTCCGTGAAAGCAACACATCTATTTACACTCAGCCCTTTCAATTTAAAAATCATGTTATTTGTGTATCGCTAATGAATGTTTGTATGACCCTGTGAGACATTTAATTTCTCAGCTTAGAGCCACAATAAAAAAACAACTGTTAAATGTAAAAAAAGTTAATCAAAACAAATGGTAAGAAGAAAAAGAAAAGAGGTCCAATAACCAATTGTATGTTGTTATTTGTTCAGCAGTATGAGCAATCTGCTTTCCCTTTCAAACATTTCTGGAAAGCAGCCCTCAAAAAACATTTTGCTACACTCTAAAAACAAATGCCTTGGCTCAACAAAGAAAATCAAGGCAACAGTTTGCATCGATGTTTATTGAGTTAAGACAACTTCTAAAGAAATTGGCTTAAAGCAACAAAGTTATTTGAGTTAGGGGAGAAGGCTTTTCCTCTACAGTCAGAGGTGTTTTTAATTACCACTTACTTAATAATTGGTAGCATAAACAAAAGTTTTGAAGTTGATTACTCAAAAGATCAAGTTGTTCCAACTAGTTTTACCACATGATTCAAAAGGAATTTTAAGTTGTATGTATTTAATTACTCTCATTGTGAACACACGTTTTTAAGTTGACAACCATTTATAAATGAAGTTGCTCCAAATATATTGTATTCAATAGTTTATTTTCTTAGCTTTTTCATGTTTTTGCCTTTAAAGAAAGACATTAATTGATTCCACAACAAAAATATTAGGCAATTCACTTTTTATTTTGAACTGCAGTTGTTTATTTCAACACATGATGTTTCAATCAGGAGAGAATTCATTTAGTTTGACCATTTATTGACACATGCCATAAGATAAGGTGCATGAACACCTGAAATCACAGCTGACTGCAGGAGAGAGGAGAACCATGTTATAGTTTGGCTGATTGGTGATTGGCTGCTGGAGAAGGAGGTGAAATGTAATAGGTTAAAGAGAACGCCTGTGATGAGCTGATTATATGCAGCTGTGGAGTGAATGTATACACACCCAGTCTTCCTGAAAGAGCTTCATTTAAATCTTGAGAAAAAAGATAAATAACACAAATTGAAATGGCCCCACACATAATAAATAAACACATTAGCCATATAACCATGGGAAATGAGCACACAGCAATTTGCCTATACATTGCAACTACAAGGCTATCTACTGTATTTGAATGACAAAAGATGACACTCACCTTAAAATGTCCTTTGTATATTTCTATTTGTCTTAACTGTGGGAACTTGTCCAGGCATGTTAAGTGGGAGTGGACTTGAAATCCTTAACTCAAGGTGTGGAACAATTAAGTTATCAAGCCAATTGCATTACTTACTACAACTTGAATTTTGTTTTTAGTCAATTAACGCAGAAATCAGAGTTCAAATGACACACAATATTAAGTTGATGTAATTACCAACATTATTACGTCAACACAACTTATAAATTCATGTTTGCAACTTAAAATGTTTCTCGTAATCAATTAACTCACATTTTTATCTTGCAACCATGCATTTAATTAAGTGGAGGTGAAAGGTCGCCTGAATTCGTTTTTAGAGTGTAGTTTAGCTTGATTCTTATTCTCACGTGTCCTTCATCTTTCAGGTATCACTCTCAAATCCATTTGTTAAAAATATATTTGCTCCTAACAAACTATTAATGCAATGAGTCTCATGAACTCATATAGCAACTACAGAAACAGACCTTAACTTTGACTATTGGCTCCAACTACCAAGCATTACAAAAATCAACCAGGTGGATAGGCAAGTTATGAAAGCACACATCAAAAGTGGACTCTCAGGATGGAAGATGCAACAAAAGAAAAAGTGCTAACCGCCAGCTTTAAACAATAACATATATTGAGGCTGGCAGGGATGGACATTTTATTCAGATCGAGATACGCTTAAGATATGATACACATGCTTAGGCCAACTATACAAAGAATCACACCTTTTAGGAAGAAGCTACGGTATGAACATCTGATGGGTCAGGCTGTACGATGTGTGCCTCTCAGGGTCTGTTTGCAGAATTCCTTTCTTTGTGATGCTGCTGTGCAATCAGCCGTGTTGGAAACAAACAACGTTGTCAGAAAACAGCTGGCCTGAAAATGAGCTACAACCCCCTCTGTGTTCTCATACCTTGGGCTATACTCGTTTCAGATTTGATTTCACATGAACTGAAAGAAGGGGAAGCTTGGATTGGGAATTCTTCAGGTTCCCACCACATCTTTCTCAAACAGACTTTGAGGAGATTTATTTGTGCTTGTTTTCCCTACGCGGGGAGCCCATCAAAGCTTTTGGCAGAACTACAACTAAAGCTTAGAATACCCTGTTGAAAATGTACAAAATGTATTAAATGAATTCACAAGAAAACACATAAAAACACCACATTGTTCCTTGGTACACATACTGTACACAGTAGAGTTCACCTCTATCTAAACAGATAGCAACCAACAGACGCTGGTTGTTAACCTGGGGAGAGAACATTGGCCTAACATTTCTGTTTAGCCCCAACAAGAATAAGGTTTGATGGTTAATGTGACATGCTATGACAGCAAAACAAAAGTCTAGCACACACTATCCTTAAACTAAAGTGTAAAGTATTTTCTCTAGCTCAGCTGAACCATTGTGGGGTTTAAAACATACAGAATAAGAATACATTATTGAACAGGAGTATTGTTCAAGTTAGTATGATCTATTATCCCTTTTCTTATTGTACATGGTTGAACTTTGGTTTGTAGCATCAGTGCGTATTTAAACCTACAATCATTCAAGCCAAACCCTTGAGTTTTCCATTTTATTGTGAAGGGCAGGATGTGGTGGATTGTACAGAGGTGGCCCTCAGCCAAAGATAATCTATCAACGCAGGGTTTTCAGAAATTCATCACACCCTCAGCAGCGAAAAGGAATTCTATTATGGGCCTTTCCTCTCTGAAGAAAGTCTCATGATGATTGGTTCTGATCACTTTTTCTTGTTGTATCACATGAGAAATACGAAAAGATACCTACAGTTTAGGTACACAGGAAGTACTTCAAGTAGAAACATCAGCAGTGTCATGGTCTGATATGTTGACATGATTTCCTTTAACTGTTACAGATGCATCAACGCATGGGGAGTTACCTGACTTTTATAGAGGTAAGACTAATTCTAATTCTCAATGATAATGTTTCAATGCTATAAAAAAACCTTCCTGAAGTGTTAAAAAACATTCCAATAATGATGAAAATAGATGCTTCTTGGTTTTTGCCAGTGTTGCGTTATGACACATTCATTAATAACACACACACGCATACACGCACTTTCGCAAACATTTGGTATTTATTACCATTTCACTCTGCTAAATGTTTGTACAGTACATTGAGCATACCAGCACAAACAGTCTCACAGAGGAACTCAACCGCATTCTCTATTCAACGAGATACATTCTAATGGAAATGCAATTTTGAGATTTCTTCCTACATTCATGCATTTCATACATTTTTTTTAAATGTCCCATGACATGGCCATTTCTACTGATCATAATTCCATTGTTGAGGTAAACTAAAATACATTTATATTGTGCAATTTTCCAAAATCACATTGGTTTCTCATACAGCATCTCTGTATAGTATGTGTATTCACTCTGTCCTAAACGGCTTGTTGGAGCTCCTGCCCCCCCCTCTCCCTATGAGCCCAGTGGCCGTCTGCGAGACAGCGAGACACAGCGACACCCAGCCTGAAACACACACACACCCGCAGCCTGGCTGGGAGTTTGTGTGTGTGCCCAGGCTGAGTTCCGCGGTGTCTCGCTGTCTCGCCGACCCCACACCAGTGAGCCAGCTCACAGTGTCCCGCTCCTCGCAGCAGCGAGCCTTGCAGCGTCCCGCCGAGTGTGTGTGTGTGTGTGTGTGTGTGTGTGAGGAAGTCCGCGGATTGGTCCAAACGTAACGGCTCCGCGGATATAACGTTACGTCACTATATCCGAAATACGTCACTATACCCAAGAAGTAAACAGTGGAAAAAAAGAAATCTCCAACGAGGCGTTCTGGGGCAGCATAGACAGGTATTTTCTGTGTTAGAGTTTTACTCGCTACAGCAGGGCTTCTCAAACTGCGGATCAAGGTCCGGATCCGGACCGAACTGCAAATCAATCCGGACCGAACCCTGTGTCCCATTATAAAAAATAAAAAAAGTTCTGATTCTGATGTAAATTAAAGTGGACCTATTATGCTATATTGGAAAAATATATTGTAGGGCCATACCTATACAAAACATGTCTGTGAAGTTTTTTGCTTAAGATACCAAACAGTTCACCCGTTGTAGCCATGCCTCATACTGCTCATACCCCTCTTTTCCAGCCCTGTTAGAGAAACGCGGATTTTGGGTCCTTAACTTGAAAAAAAAAAAGAGGAGGCGGATCTAATGTCTGTTTTTAAAAGATTTGGGTTCGGAGGAAAAGAGAGAGGGTTTTATTTTCTGACGCTGCGTGAGTTCCCCGACGCACCGGGACTTTACTGGCATTGATCCGGACCATTGACTTTGTATAAAATTCACAAGTGGACCTTTAACAAAAAAGTTTGAGTACCCCTGCGCTACAGGGTGTACTTTGAGGGTTTGAGACTCTGCAGACCGTTTACATGCATAAAAACCTACATAACACACACACACAAGTGGACGGGTAATAACCAGAAAAGCATGACATGGGACCTTTAAATAAAATTCACTAATGTGCATCCAAAGTTTTCATGTATGCTACAAAAATGATACAATTTAATTTCAGTGGTGATAAGGTTTTAAGTTCAAGGCTGAGCACAAGGTTACAGAGATGTTTTAAACCAGAAAGGTCACAGGGTTGTATTTTTATGAACTTCTATGTGTTCTGATAAAGTCCCCTTGAGGATAGCGAGCTGATTATAATTAGAACTTACGATTAAATACCTGAAACGTATTAAAAAATGGCTTACTCCTTTTTGATTTATAGTCTTCAAATCAGATACAAACATGCTGCGTCTGTTGACTGTCAGGCTGGTGACGTCTGGCCTTGGTCTTCAGAACAGGAATCAGGCTTTGATTCATGGAGTCTGCATGGCATTATATTTGAAAGCCCTGCGACTTGTGATTGCTTAATGCATTATTCTCTCAAAACAACTCTTGCACAAGGGATGTGACTGGCAAGGTGTTTTGAATTACATTATATGTTAAGCAAGAAACACTCAGCATTGACATTTACTTAGAAGTAAGATAGTGGATGCCAACAGAGGGTTTTGATTTGTATAAAAGGACAAATACGATTCACATGTGAAGTCTCGGTTTGTTAATAACAACCCTTCCAGTTCCGTTTGAAAACTAGAGAAGCACTAAAGATACAGTATTAAGCAATAATAAGCGAGAATATTGCATCACCTCTTCTTTAATTAAACTCACTATTCAAGCTTTTGTCGTGTTTTACTCTCATTTACTATTCAATGAAAAATAAATAAAAGAAGTATGTCAGATCCAAAAGGGCTTTGGGTGCAGCTTTGCCCGTCTCCTGCCCGCTGCGGCCCCGAGGCAGTAACACTACAATCTGCCTGTCTGCCTGCGTTAGGCGACAAGAAGTGACATATGGCTCCCTTTCTGAGGGTCCACAATAGACCAGGACTAATGACATTCTGTCTAGAGGTCACGGTTCCTCGAAATGCTGCTATTTCTGGATTTCTCCTACTTACAGATGAACATTAATCCTAATGGAGATGGTTACAGTTCAAGACATTGCACTGCAGTGGGCAGAATAATCCAGGATGATCATTAGAGCTGGAAACTGTGTTAGAGCTGCCATGCCTCATTGTGGGCTCATATTGGTATGATGGATGACACAGAAAATGGATAATAGATAGCGGTGTGAGTCATTAAAGCACCCAATCATGCTGTAGATGTAAAAATATCATTTTTATATAAATGTCATTATTTGTTCTAAACATAATGTATCACTTTAGATATTTAAAAACCAAATCCACATTTTTTAGATGTTAAGGTATTAGGGGAAAAAAGTAAGACACTTTTTTGTTCTCTTGCCAATACTTATTTCAATTTCCATTTATGCTTCTATTCATGTATGCTAAATATGCAGCAGCTACAGCCAGCAAGAATGGAATAGAATATATCAGTATTGTCATCAAACAAAGTACAACGGAAAGTCTTTGGCAACTCTCACTGCAGTAAAAAATAGACACAAATAAAGAAATAAATAAGAGTGGTAAAAGCAGAGGTAGTAGCGATGACAGTGCAACGAGATAAAATGCAATGTCAATGTGCATATTTACACTTACAGTCTAAAAACGTTAAATGTACAGAACTGTATACATGTAGTGTATTTCTGTGTGTTCATAAAGGGTTATAGTCAGGGCTGCACATAACTGGTGCGCAGGTGCGCATGCGCGCCTCCGCCAAAAAAAGAGCACCGGGTCATTTGAAACAAAGCGCATTTGCGTACCAACATTGAGAGGGAGAGAGATAAGAGAAAAGAGAAAATAGAAAATAGAGGAGAGATGAGAGAGAGAAGAGAGAGAGAAATATATTTGCGAGTTGGATATGAACTCAGGGCCGGCCCGTAGCGCTGGCTAGATGTTCGCCTAGGGCGCCAGATCTGGGGAGGCGCTGCGCTGGCAGTTCTGGGAGGGAAAAAAACATTTTGACCGTTAGGGCTCATCCTAATTTTCGGCCTTGATGTAACAATATTCATAATTAAGTAAATGTAACACCCTTTTCACCCCGGTTACACCTTTCATTTGCCCTGTACGATGGGCGCTGTAAGTGATGAAAATGGGGGATGTTGGCTTATCTGGCGCCCGCAGCTCACAGCCAAAATGCGAGTGAGCGAGGGAGAGAGGGAGGGTGCACCGGTACCAGCGCTGTTGTTATTATAATCTGGTGCCGTGCTAGCTGCTCTAACGGATATAAGAAGAAGATGTTTCTACAATAATGTGGAGGGAGAGTCCTCTCCAGTCAGACTGAGAGGCTGATAAGTTAACTACAGCTCAGTGAGGTAAAGGACTCTTAGTCTAAGTTCAAACGGTTTGGTCACAATTTATGTACATATTTCCAAGGCACTCCTTTATAATTATTGGGATAAACAGGTTTTAAATCATTCCAATGCATACTATAGGACAGTAACCAAAAATATCCTTTAAAACTGGAGATATAAAAAATAAAAATAAAATAAATAAATGTTAAGGTAAAATAAGATATGAATGAACAACACAAATAAAATAAGTTACATTAATTTGTTATTGGCTATGGTAGGTTATTGGTTATGTTCACATACTTATTTGATTACATCCACTTGTCTAAGATGATAACAGAGACTTTCGACCCAAACCCAGTTGTTGACTTGTGGATGCAAGCATCTAATAATCGCAGACTCAACCAGAGAGAAAGTAGTAGGCCTACATCATCAGCTACCATGTCTGACAGAGAGGAAGACAGTGAGGAGAACAGTCAGGAGGGTATAGTGATGACAGCTTGTAGGATTACTGGTCGTGCTAATGTTGTCTTGTGTTCACCTCTGCATGTGTGTTCTGTGTTCACCTCTGTGTGTTCAGTGCCGTGTGTCTGGCAAATAAAGTCAAGACCCCTCAAAAGTTACGGTTTATTTCATTTTAAGGATGAGCACCAAGCAACATCTCCAGGTGCTCCTTTGAGAACCAGGGCAAAAAAGTTATGTGCACCCCTGGTTATAGTAACCAAAGGATGCAAGTAAAATAGCCATACATATTTATAAATAGTAGTGGTTGCAGTCTTTGAGGGGCGGAGGTGTGTTTATGAATGTTCACAGTTGTTTAACCCATTAGCTTAGCATTAAGACCGGTGAGCAGGATAATAACTCGCCTGTTCTAAATGTAACAACATCAGCAAAACAAGCATTTACACTAGAGAGCAATAAGTACCATGTTATATCATGTTTGTTTTATCTGTTTAGCAACCAAAGTGTGTAAACGACAAGTTGAGGTTTTACAGGGGGATATGCAGCACTCGCACATTTCCTGCGAGGTTGCTGGGCAACCAGCAGAGACTGCAGGAAGTCGCTGTGCCCAGCCAAGAAAAGGTCCAGAAATAGTCCATATCGATCTTTTCATCTAACACCCTGCGAGAAACTAAATTACGTTTTCCCAAAATGT